TTTGATAAAGAGGAACTCTTGGACATTGTAGGAAATCTCATCTGTTGATCATCTATTAAGACAAAAAAAAGGACATTGTAAATTCATGAGACTGGAGATAGATGACTGGGAAGGGTGAATCTACCAAACCTGGATAATCTGTGTCATGCTTGAAACACACAAAAATTCAGCTATTCAATCTATATCTACTGTGGTTAGAAAAGTAACTGATAACAACAATGCTGTTAATCCTTAATTTTATTGGTTTGTGTGAAATGAAATTAAAGGGTTCTTGTAATTCAAATAAAAGGATAGGGTTTATTGATATTTTTCTGCTTGATTCATTCCTTGTTAGGCATTTCCATCTTCCCTTGCTTGTAACTTATTGCCTATGTTTTGTGCGCATTTTTATCTTGATGACAAAATATTTCCTAATCAGTGAAGGAATTAATTTTTTAAAGAGATAATACAATAACAAATTTTTTTTGTTTGCTTCCTCTATGTCTCACACTTACATGGCTGTCTTTCACCGTTTTTAGAAGTAAGCATTATTTCAATCTTCATGCAATTATTAATTTCCTGCTGTTTTACACCGCTTGGATTTAGGTGTCTTTGCCATCTGATGTGTAGTAGTGTGGCCCAGATTAGATTTCAAATGAGGGCTCTGATTTTTAATTTCTAGCATAATTTCTGACTGAGATACACAGTTCCTGATCAGTTGTGCGTGGTTAACCAAACCTTTTGTGGAGCCTTTCCTGTCAATGGGGATGTTTATGTTTTTTTGTCTTACTCAAGTATTGTGAAAATATAAAAAAATATTTCATGTACAATTTTTGACATAGCACCATACAGAACTTAATACGGGTATTATGTAACTTAATACGTAATTTAAATTGGCTATTAATAAATACCATAATTCTTCCCCAGTAAAATATGAATCAATGCTCTAAGAATATTTAGGGGTTTTTTGGTGTTACTTACGTGGAAAATTTTGTATTCATAATGCTGTCTGGTTTCCTTTTTTAGGTTTATTATATTTACCTTTGGTTTTCAATGTGATTTTACTACCAGAGTGATGAACAGAGTGATGTGCTTCCACAGCAATTTCTGAAAGGACTTAGCATCCATGCCATCTTCTCCTGGAATTAGTTTTTTGGTTTTGCAAACACTTTTTGCTAATGTTTTAAATGTACTTTTTGCATTTTATTTTATTTTGATAGGCAACTTATCAAGTGGATTTTATTACGCTTTACATGACTTTGTGCAGTTGAAATATTACCTATCTGATTTTTTAAGAGAAAAAAATTTTAAAAAAGCTGTATTAATTGAAAGATGAATCAAATTCTTGAAGGCCTATTGAAGCGAATATTTTCATTTTTCATTTAATGAATCATTTCACTAAATGACTGTCAGAATGAGAATGCAGTTCTAAATTTGCAGATTCAACTCTATGTTATGTAAGAACTATAGTGATTCACAACCTTATGGCATAAGTCCATGAAACAAAAGGATTAGGCTTGCACCTACAAAAGTCTTTGTCTTTCCTGCACTTGATTATTTCTTGCATCTGCAACAATGGCAGTATTCTTAAGTTATTGTTAGAATTTTTCTTTCCATATGAAATAAAAAGAAGTGTTTAGCCTATCATAATTATTCATTTAAAAACAGGATTTGGACTTACAGATATAGATCTCATAACTACATAAAAATATTTTAGAATCAGATGTGATACATTGTAGGCAAACATTTGTTGTTTGCTATAGTTTATAAAAAACAGAAGTTGTCTCAGTAAAGCAGATTTCAAAGCATTATTTACATTCCTCCAAGAGAAGAAACCACAAATGACATGATATACCAAACAGCAGTCACTAAATTAATTTCTCTTTTTTCAACAAATATCACTATTTAGTTTATATAAAGGGGTTTTAAGTCCATTGACACTGATACACATGAAAATGCTTTAACAAAGATTAATAAAAATTTCCACTCCCAGGAATATAGATATTCTAGAAGAAAAAGAAAAAGAAAAGAAGTGTGAGCAGAAGTAGAAGTATCAGATTAAGCTGTGAGAATACACAGACAATAATGTTGGTGAGTCAGGGCATTCAACTACGATTTAGGCAATGATTTATAGCCAGGTATCATTTCAATCAACAGGCAGTGGGAGCAGCGGGGTTTCTAATACCCTTGAAAATGAGGGATAATTCATATCTCCAGCTCATCACCTGGATACTGAATTTGGAGGACATTTAAATGTCCATTTATTTATTATTTATTTATAACATTTTCACATTAAATTTGTAGTGGACAGGAATGCACTCTTTTGCAATAGCCAACAAAAGTTAGATCCTGAAATGTTACCTGAAAAAGCCAGTTATCTAGTAACATACAAACACTGAAAGACAGTTATTCAGTAACATACAAATATACTCCTTATTTTATAAAAAGAATTCAAAATTATGTTGCATTTATCATAGGTTTACATTTTACTTCTTGCTGTGTTTCCAGACTGAAGCGCCCATTCCCAAGTACTAGGTACAATGGGAATTTTCTATTAAAAGCACAATGGCTGGCACAAGAGACTCCCACTCTCTGCGTAGTATCTCCATATGGTCTTATTTTTCGTCCTTTAAAACAGTATTACTACTAGAGTGGATGGAAGTGTTTCTGTGGGGCCCTGGGACTAGGCCAGAAAGCAGTGCCTCTTACTTGTGCTCAGGACGAGGTTGTTACCATCTCCCACTCTCCAGTGAGAAGAGAGGTATTCTTATTTTGCCTTTCTTGACAATGAACAACTTTGATAATGCTTCCAAAAGTGCCCACAGGACTTCCATTTCAGATCCTTTTCTTTGCCGCGAGTAACTTCCAAGAATGGCACTGTGTCAGTGATCTGGAGGCCTGGCTCTGCCTCTGGGCACCCAGAGGTGTGCTATCATCCCTTTACCCATATCTGGTAAGGCTGAGATGGTACACATGCCTTGAGACTGCAGCAGTGCAGCTTGGTTAGGTGCAACAAGCCTGCGTGGAGCACCATGGCAAGACCTCACAGGGTTTATAAACAGCTTTAGGTGCTTCTGAAAATGCTAACTAGCTTGAGCGATGAGTGTTTGTTGTGATGGAATCAAATGCCAATGTAGCATGGCTGCCTTCAAACAGCTGAGGAGCTGTGAGTGTGCATCTCCGTTGTGCTAATTTGCAGCACACATATGCAGTGACTGGTTCAGCCTGCAGAGAAGGATCATTGTGTTTGGATCACATTGCTCATGTTGTTTAGTCTTTTGCTGGCAGAGCCTAATAATTATTGCTAATTATTGCTAATTATTGCTCTGCTAGTATTTGTAACACTGAACTGCTAAAGTACATGACTTTTATCTGGGTTCTAGGCTTTTACTCTCCAGCCAACAGCCACACCAGAAGGCTGGAACAGGCAAAATTTAGAAGTGCTTTTCTATGCATCACTGACAATCTGACGGGAGAAGAAAATAGCGCTTGTTGAGAGAATCCCAATTAGCTACGGTTTGACTACCAACTGTGCTTCAGCGAAGCACGATCAGGCCCAAATAAAGTGGCCTGGCCAGAAACGTTTTTTCAGAAAACCGGCCAACATTGACATTCCCTCCGCTTTCCTCTCTTGCCCCCGTTACTGCTCCGCCAATTTTTTTTCGGGTTCATTTCCGCGGATGATATCCCGCGGGGACGAGTATCCCGATCCCCGCAGGGAAGGCTGCTGAGGCGAGACCGAGCTCCGCGAAG